ATACAAAAATAAATAAATAAAAAAATAAACAAAAAGAATGTAACTCATGATAATCCAATAAAATAATATAACTCAAAAATTTGAATCAAATGTCAACTTGTTATTAATTATATTAATATTTATTTAATCCATTTAGTCTATTTAGTGGGAAGAGAACCATGGTAGACCCGGGGAACCCTGCCAGTCTACCCTGTGACCCGGGAAACCCTGCCAGTCACAAACAAATCACTTTGGCCATAATCAATTCACATCTTCCTAGTGTGCACAACTCTTCCCAAAGTTGCTACTAGTATCCCGGGAAACCCTGCCAGACACCACTTTGGGAAGAACGGATATAATCTTTTTCACATCAGTTTCACATCGGAGGCATAAAGCCCAAAAATTGTGTTCATCACTTTGGGAGGTACCATCCCAAAGCTATCCTCCCACTATTATTATTATTATTTTTTTAATACAGACATAACAAAATTTCCCAATTTATTTCAAATATATGTAATATCTATTTTCTGCAGCAAACAATTAATTTCCAATTTACCAAAACATATATATATATTAGTGCCTCAATTTATAAAGTAAAGCACAGAATATAAAAAAAAACAATTGAAACTAAATTCATATAACTAATGTATTTGAAATATGTTCATCACGTAAATCGAAAAGTAGAATTGCAATATATGTAACTTGAAAGAAACGATTCAGATGGTAGATGGTGAACATACATCTAATTCAATTGAAAGTGACGCACAAAGATCGAGAAAGGAGATTTTTTTGTTTGTTTTTGTTTTGTGAACTATATCATGTATAAAAGCAACGATAAGTATAATTCGAATTCAATTAAAGAATTGCACAGAAATCAAAAGAAATTTGCAACGAAGTGTAACTATGATATATATTTAGGATCATAATTATCCTATCAAAATTCATATAAAATTAACCTAAGACTTCTAAGGATTAGGATTACACATACCAAATTTCACATAAAATAAATATAATCTAAAAATACCTGGGGATTAGGATTACCTGGTCTCCGTTTTCGCTAACTTTTAGAAGAAAAGAGTAATTTGGGGCAGAGAACCGGTTGATAAAAAAATATAAAGATTGAAAATAATTAAAATAAACTTTTTGGAGTGAGAAGAGAAAGAGAGTAGTAGAGGAGAGTGAATTGGTTTGGTTAGGCTAGGTCTCTATTTATAGTTGAAGTTTAGGGCTTATACATTACTGACTCAATGCTGACTCATCATATCTAAACAATTTATGTTTGTTGAGTCATCATATCTAAACAATTTATGTTTGTTAAGTCATCATATCTAAACAATTTATGTTTGTTGAGTCATCATATCTAAACAATTTATGTTTGTTGACTCATCTTAATCCAATCAAACATTACCAATCAAATAATCAAACATTAAAGCATAATGATCAATCAAATAATAACAATTTATCACCCATTATTATTATTACTAATTTATAATTTATTACTATTATTAATTTATTGTATTATAAATTACTATTATTTTTCTGGGATATTACAACTCACCTCAACCCCACTTGGTCCGGGACCAAGGGCAATCCTCCGAACTCACGGTTCGGGGTTCAAATCAACGTACGACAACCTACAACAACCATGTATGAATCATCAATACACGGCAAATCTATCAAAATATGAAAACGTCAAATTTCACCCCCCACACAAGGTATGTTCGGCCTACATAGTGTTATTTTACATTTTATTTTTCTAAATTTTCTTTCTCATTTTCTTAGGCATCCTTAGGTTACCAAAAGGCAATATCAAGTGCCACTTTTCATTTTTCGTCATTTAAACGTCGTTTTTGCCTAATATTTTGCTCTAGGTTCCATGACACCTCTCAACACATCATTTATTTTTCCATTGGTTCTCCAACCTTCCAACTATCGCACAACCCATCTAATTACCATTTAACACATAACACATCATCCAAGTAATTTCAACAACATCATTTCCTTTCTTTTCCCCAAATGGCCGAATTCAACAATGGTGTACTCCAAGAAATTTCAATCAATTTCAACTACTCCACATCTCATACAATCCCATTATATCATCATACAACCATACCACAATCCCATTACACAATCCTAACAATAATCTCAAACACAAAGTCATGACACCATCAAATTTTTCTAAGTTAAAAATCATATTTCTCACCAATATTTTGTATTGCATTTTTAGCTACTACACATTATTCTAAGACACATTCATGTACAAACATTTTCCATTTGAGCTCTCTAACAACACAAATCAACAAAACCCCCTTTAGGGTTCATGAATTAAATCCAAAGATTAAATCGTTAAAATGACGAAGAAACTTACTCAAAAGCTTGACACAAGGCTCCTCCTAGACATACTAAACCATTGGAGCATCTAACAACTCCATGAACACAAATCTACCACTTTGAGCCGCGGCCTTGGGGAGGGAATATCTCAATTTCTAGTGGCTTTCAAGGTTCAATGGTACCACTAATGGGTTTAGGAGGTGATTTCCAATGGATTTCACGTTAAGGATCAATGGATTTGATGGAGTTTTGTGTGAGTTAGAGGGAAAAGAAAATTCAAATGAAGATGGTCCAAGGGGGGGTGGCTGGCACGAGTTTTTGGTGAGAGAAGGGAGATGAATGAATAGTACAATCTTAGGTGTCTCAAGTGACTAAAGTGGGGGTGGGTCCCACCGCCACATCACGCGTTTTCAAACTGATTTAACTCTCGTTTAATCCACTAAACGTCCGTAAATTCACAACCTATTTAGAAACTCTAATTTTTAACATTAACTATTGTCCTTTAATTACCCTTGATCAGATGAATCCGGAGTTTTTCGGTCGTTCGGAGAAAATGCTGTTTTAAGCTGTTGCGCGCGCCGTTGGCACACTTCCCCAAACTTACTTATTTCCATCAAATTTCATCATAATTCATATTCCCTAGTTCTACAAACCATTTATAACTTGTATTCAAAACCTAGAGCTCAAAACTCAATCGGCACACTTTACGGTGCAACTGTACCGCTGTATTTTTACCTGATAAAAGCACTATTCACTGAATTTTCTGAAACTTGTCTAACAACTCAATTTTTCGTTCTGAATCCATTTCCAGGATTATTTTTATCATCTGAGACCTTCAACTCAATTTTTATCTTCCTAGGGTTGCGTGCTGGCTAATTACCGTTTTACCCTTCCTTTGTATTTGACCTAATTTTCAGGATTTTTACTAATCTTTCCCTTTAACTCATGTTTAATATTTTAATATATAATTTAGAATTGCGAGGTGTTATAAATAGAGAGATAAGAGAGATAGGGAATTGTATTCTGGTTGTATTGTCATACTATTTATATTTATAGACTCGGGAAACATGAAAGTTACAATAACTAAAATTATTCTCCAACGGTCATAATATCTCTAACATGCCATAAGGTTTCCAACAGCTAAAACGTCTCCAATAGTCATAACGGTTATATAACAGACATGGATAACCAATAAATTATTTATAACAAACTTTTGAAAAAAAATTAAAAATTACAATATGTGTTTTCTAAGATGGTGACATTTGAGGAGAATTGAACTTTTTTTTTTTTAATGGATTGACCCTACCAAGACAATTGGGTTTTTGTTTTGGGGACTCGACGGTGATGCAGGCTAAATCGGAGGAATGAGAACAAAATTGGTTGATTTTCTAATAAGGATTATGTGTTGTGTGTGGGGTGATTAACCCATATTTTCTAAGAAGGGGCAGAGAGCAAAAAGAGAGAGAAAGGACATTTTGGTCCAAAAATATTTGAGAGATTCTCCCATCACCTAGGAAATAAAAAATACCACCTTTTTGATAATATTTTGATTGAGAAAATACATACAAAACAGAATCCCGAGAAAATCACTTTCCCAATAATTTTTTTCAAAATGGGCTACCAATCATGGATTTCTTATAATCCTATTCCCATTTTTCTGGGTCTCCAAAAATAATCTTCCAACCAAAAATAATCTTAAAGTTAATTTAAGATGTCTTCTTACTTTTAAATAATACGGTACATATCGAGGCTTTTTAATCATTTTACCCCTTATTAATTAAAAAATAACAACTTTGCCCCCATTTCAATACTATACACTTACGTGCCTTTGTTTCAATATTATACACTTATGTACCCTTGTTTAATCGATTACAAAATACGTTTAATCGATTAAGTGTAAAATAAAAAAAATATTATAATATGCTTTCAGTGTATCGCTTTTTTTCTTTTGCGAGTAGAAATTGCAGGGCCCTCCTCGTGCTATGTGGTAACGTGGCACCATAGCAGGAGTAACTGGTACATTTTGCATCTATGTTCTCTTCTCCAACTACTCCTTTCTTTGGATTCGAAAAGACAGAATTATGGGGAGAATCAAAGGATCTTTTTTTACTTGGGGAAGAGCGGGTGAGAGCTTCAGCCACGGCCACACAAGTGATGTTAGCAGGAATATGGTTCTTCTTGTAGAGCGTTTGGAGCTCCTTCCATGATTGAGGAGAAAAGATAGATCTGAACAAAAAACAAGGTGTTCTGGGTTTTGATGAAATGAAAATCGAAGAAGGCGATGATTAAGTAATTGATTAAAAAACCATTGGGTTGGATGAGAAGATATAAAAGTTGTTGCACATGATGTTCCGATTCTAGGATATAAAAGCTTTTGAATCCAAGGGAAGTTTAAGAAGAGAACACACATGCAAATGTACCAGTTACTCCTACTATGGTGCCACGTAGCAGGAGGAGAGCCGTTGCCGTTTCTACTTGCAGAAAGAAAAAAACCAAGATGCTAGAAGGTGATGATAATTTCACAACTTAATTGATTAAATGTTTTTTTAATCGATTAAATAAGGATAAATAGATATATAGTATTAAAAAGGGGATAAAGTAATTATTTTTTAATTAACAAAGAATATAAGGGTCAAAAAGCCTATATATCAAAATCAAAATATACTGTCTCTAAAAAAATAAAATAAATAGGGTTTCTATATTGCAGGTAAAGATAATTGAGTAACTGAAATTGAGAACGGTTCGGGTGACGACATAATACGGTTTCTGGGTGCTGAATTCGTAAGACAATTTAACGAGAAAGTGAAAGAAATTATTGAAGAAGCTTCTTCATTATGAGATTTTTATTTTTAATATTTTTTGGTTCTAGGGTTTGAGAATCGACGCTGGGAAGCCATGTCCAATCATCACCGTTCTTCGAGTGCTTCGTCTAAGACCGGTCTTCCACCTCAAGAACTCCTTGATGATCTCTGCAGGTCTGTGATTTTTTTTTTCTGGTTTCGAATTTCTCGGTACTTTCTTTGATTTTCCTGAAATTGGAGGACAATGGGTATTGAAAGTTCGGAGCTTTTTGGATTTTTTTGTTACAAATATTTTTCATACTCTTGAATTGTTTTAATTTTCTGCTAAATGTGTGGTTATGAATTTTTGGAAAGATTTGGGCTATTTCTGCCGATGTCATTTTGGGTTGTAACAATATGACTACGATGGTAAGTTAAGCTTCAAGGAGTAGACTGAAGTTTTTTTTTCTGCTGCAGAATAGGGAGAATTATTATTACATGCTGTACCGCTATGCAATTTTTGACAGGGAAAGTTCTGCTGAATATTTATCAGTAGAACTGTAAAAGGTTTTGTTTTGTAACTGCCTAATTATGGATTACTCACTATAAGAACAGGGTAGTATACTTTTCCAATATAATCATTCAATTTATTTTATCTTATTTATTTATTTATTTATATATTTTTGTTTGTAAATAACAGTTAAGAGATTTGTTGAAATGCTTTGACATACATATACTGTAATATAGTTTAATCATTTGCTGTTGTATATTCTGTCTTCCAATTCCGTAACACTCACACTGATTTCCATTGACTTTCTTCCCTGGATTTGTGAGTATAATTTTGTCTTCCTATGTTTATTTTGTTTTTCTCATTAATGTCCATGTTATGTTGTTTATATTGCAGCCGATTTGTGCTAAACGTTCCAAAGGAAGACCTTCAATCATTTGAAAGGATCTTGTTTCTTGTGGAGTATGCACATTGGTTTTATGAAGATAATTCTGTAGAAAATAATCCATCTCTGAAGTCATTCAATCTGAAGGAGTTTACTTCTTTATGTATCCTTATTACATCTGTTTTTTTTTATCCTTAATGTTTAAAATAACAGAATATAAGTTTTTCACTCTTATTCCTGTTTTACTATAATAATTTGTCGGCAATTCTGTCCTTCTTTTCATTAAACAAGTAAAACTAACATGGAGTTGTAATGAAAGAATGTGAGCAGAGGACTTTGGTCGTCCATAGATATTTATTCCTCACTCAAGATTTTTCGAGATCTTTAATTTGTTAAACATTTTGGTTGCTGGTCCAGATTCACGTGTTTTATTCTTCTCTCATGCCATCTCTTGTAATATATGTACCAAATCTTGGTAAATGGGGAATCTATATTTCTTGCTTTTAGTTTCCTCGAGAATTTTAGCATTGAACCAAACATAACAGTGTCCCATTCTAGTTTTGAGGAAATCTGCATATTTATTGTTATCTTCTTTTCATGTCAAAAGTTGGAAACTACATGTTTTCTTAACTTTGAAAGAAAACTGTCGTTGAAATCATCTCTGTATGGTATGACACAAAAAGTTGTATGCAGCACCCATCTGCATCTGGAATTCCCTCTGCCCCAATTTTTCTTCATAAAATCCAATACATTGTTGCTTTGGAGTTCATCAGTTAGGATTGGGTTTATGCCTAGCCCTTCTCACATGCTTGCTTTGCTTAGCCATTCTCGCGTGCTTGCTTGTGCACTGACACATACATATTGACCATGATATAAAATATTAATGCATATTAATAATGGAACCATGTTTTCCAATTACATCCTTTGACCAGGCAAGGAAGACTATCTCTGTTATGATTTACTGTTTAGACATTTTAAGGCATAGTTGTCTAGGATTTACATTGAAAAAGGCTAGTCATTATGGCGGTTTATTTTTATTCTCTTATTTTCTATATCCACATCATCTTATAATTAGATGCTGTTTCCCTTAATATTTAGCAGTGTTCAACAGCTGTGATGTTTTGAAACCTTATGTGGCCCACATAGATGATATTTTTAAGGACTTCACTTCTTACAAGGTTCGAGTTCCGGTAACTGGGGCAATAATTCTTGATGAAACTTATGAAAGGGTAAGTTAAGAATAAGGCTCACAGCAGTATTGCATTTCTGCAGTAAGATAAGTTGATTTGCTTACCTTGTTTTCTAGTGCCCGGGGGTTTACCTTCTCCTTGGTATAAATATGGCCCTGAATTAATGTGTCCTCTTTTGTTATTGCATATTTTTCACTTTGTTTTGGTGATTGGTTATCTAATACTGTAATCATTGTGCATGATGCACATGATTAAAATCTGTTTTATGAATTTCTAAATATTTTTTATGTTCCATTGTTGGCTATTAGGAAGATGAAAATTGTTAGTTAATGGCTATTCAAGTAATTAGAGACAATATCTAACGTAAATTTTTAATACTTTTGTCAAAGAGTGCTGATTAAGGATGATTGCCTTAAGTTAACCTTATCTAAATCCAATGGCAGCTAAATAATTAAGGACCTTCTAAATATGGAAGATGAAGTATCCCTTTATCACATATGTTATACATGCAGTCAATATGTGACTTGGTTATGTATGCTTTTCATTACTCAACTTGGTGAGCTTCTTGTAAAAAATAGGATAATATTATTTCTTTTAGTGAGAGATACAGTAAGGCCACATTCATAAGCCTTCACCTAACATCTAAAGCCTCTGGGAGATTTGGTCCATCGCATGCTATTAAATCCTCTATGACTGAGTGGTCAAGAATGTCTCTATTCTTCTTGTGCTGTCCATGCTTTATTTGGCTCTTGCTTTAGGGGACATATTAGATACAATAAAGCCATTCATAAGCCTTCCCCTAACTGCTTAAGATTTTAGGAAAGTTGGTCCATGATAGTTTCTAAAATAACTGGTGAATAATGTCAAAGATGTCCCAGCAGGGGGGGTGTTGTTCTTGAAACTTTGTATATTGGATGTAAACAGTTGTTTTCGAGGAAAAATAATTAAAAACATAATTATGTGAAGAAATTCTAGGTGTAATGATATTAGATATGGCCTATGGAACTCCACAGAAGATCCTCTCAACTGATACGATAATATTGAAGTGCAATTTAAACTTTTAAGAAAAGGCTAGTTAACATCTCAATCTCATCAAGAATCAGTTTCCAGTTAAATCATTGAATAATACAACCTGGCATCATGAATCATGATTTTCACCCTCTAGCCCCAGTTTCTTTAATGTAGTTCATACTTTAATGGTGCTGAAGAACAATACTTGACTTCACACCAATTAAAATGTGGAATAACTAGGATAAGCTTGAAATGATTGAGTAGTTGTGAAATTCCAAATTCTTAAAACTATTAGTGAAGATGAAAATGATACTATGTAGAGCAACATCTAGGGATTAGAGGTTTTAGTATAGGAAGTAAAGGCTACTTGTGTCTTTTTTGTAGTTGTAATATTAGTATCGATAGATAATTAGGGTTCAATTAGGTATGAGAATTATGTAAGAGAAATGTTGTTTTCTTCTCCACAGATCCTTTTCTCTGTTTTCCTTGAAACCCTAATGTCTCTCAATAGGAGGGAAGTAAAGTATTTCAATTATGAGGTGAAACTTTTACTTTGTGTCTCTAAGAAGAACATAATAATTTTATAATTCATACAAAAAAGACATTTAAGTTTATTTAGTTCGTAACTTGCAATTTAAAGCTGTAACCTTTTTCTAGTTCAAGCAAGTAATTTTCCACTGCAGTTTCTTGGGACTGAAAATATATCTATCAATTACTTATTGGTAAGTTGTGCCATATTTACTTCTATGCATATGCTGTTGACAGTGCTTGCTAGTGAAGGGATGGAAGGGCTCAAGTTGGAGCTTTCCGCGTGGCAAAAAGAGCAAAGACGAAGAAGATCATGCATGTGCCATTAGAGAAGTAAGCATACTTCTTTGGAGTTATTGCTTTCTCAGTCTCTTGTTGTAAATGACTCTTTCCATGTGCATTTGGACTACAGGTCCAGGCAAGATAGTTACTGATACAGACCACTCAACAAGTAAAATTATCACATAAAAGAACTCTGGAATATTGAAATACATATTGATATATCTATGAATCTGGAGTACAATATAGAGACAGTAACAGACTAAGAAATAGTAAAAGACTCAGAGACAGTAACAACATCAACTTTTAACAATAGCAACGTTCAGACTACAATACTAAAAAGGGAAATGAAATGAAATACAAGAAAAAGATAATGTAAGACAATTGGAGAGGCCTCACTCTCTCCCAAGAGTCCAATGCCAATATACTTTCCAGATCCCCTCATACTTCACATTTCTCTCTATTTATTATCCATACCCACTTCTAGAATATTTTCTACTAACTAACTAATTTGCTGAGTCAGCCTTGAGAGATGGGAATATGCTATAATGCTTCCTAGAATACTCTTTTAGGACTGGTGTTGTATCAATACCCCCCCTAACAATCACCTTGTCCTCAAGGTGATGATCATTTTTCGGGGTCCCATTGCTTGAAATGTAGTGGCCAGCTAATGCATGAGGCTATGTAACCTCCCCCACCTGGATCCCACCGTGTGAAAGATATATGCCAATGGATTTCTCACACATAAGAGCGCCCACCTGGGTCCCATTCCGCTTCAGCACTTGAACCCTTATCTACCCGTTTGAAACTAGTAATATGAGCTCTGATTATCAGATTTCTCGTAGCAGACAAAACAGCCTCATCAAGTTGATGAACGACATTAATGATAATAGAAAAATGCCCTGTTCCAAACATACTTTGCCACTGGTTCACATAACTAGGCAATGAATGTTCTTGTGTGCCTTCCATTCCCAAAAAATCAGAATATCCAACATATAAAATACCTTGTTTATCTTCATTAACTATGCAAAACCTATTATTACTTTGTTCCAAGATGTCAGAAGCATATTCCCTGTAAAATCCCATGAATTTCACTCTAGTTTTAGGCCATCGACCCAAAATGGTGTTCTTGAATTCCTTTACAATGAACAAATGCCCCTTCCAAAACTGTTCTCTTTCTTCAACATCAAAGGGCCAATGACATTCCTCGATATGATACCTAACTACCTCCAGAGTTTCCAGGCTCGCTCCATGCTTCAAGACAGCCCCAAGATGTCCCTGCTCCGATGCTCTCAAATTCGACTATTAGCCATGATCCAAGGTGGTTCGAAACCAAGCTATTTGGTTTGGTGGTGCTGATGTCCACCTATGAAGCACCGATACGGCTAAATTTTTTTTTTTACATATCCGATACGCGTCCCAGACGAATACGTTGGCGACACTCATTTTCACATATCGAATGAGTCAACAAAATCGATACTGTCAAATGCCATGTTTGTAAATTTTAAAAAACTGAAGTGTGTTTTCTAACTGAAGATTTTTGGCAAAAAAAACCCTGAATCGAAGTGTGACTCACTTAGTTCTATACTCACCTAGTCACCTCCGCCATCTCTGTTCTAAAATCGCTAAGTGCTCACTGCCATCTGCCGGCCGACTCACTTCTTCCTCTCCTCGTGCGTCTGCCGTCTGCCATCTCTGATCTCTGGCAAGGGCCGACTCACTTCTCCCTCTCCTCGACGCGGTTGGGTCTCTTTCAGTCTCTTTGCTCTCCTCTGCGTCTACCTCTCTCTCTAGTTGCGTCTGTGACTGTCGGTTTGTCTTTTCTTTAACCTCATTTTTTTTTTCTTTTTTATCGTGCATCCATGTTGTTATAAAAAAAAAGAGCATTCACAATGTACCAGTCTATAAAAAAAAGCATTAAAAAAGAGAGCATTACTAATTTTATGATTTAGTATTTTTTTTATATATGAGCTGTAATTATTTTTGCTTCTGTTAATTTTTATTTTTATTTTGAGCTGTTAATTTGAGCTTTTAATTGTCCACAACAAATATGTTTTTATTATTGTCCATATTTTTATTATTTTGAGCTTTTTAATTTTTGTTAATTTTTCAATATTTTTATTTTGAGCTTTTCATTGGCCTGATTATGTCTTTTTTTTTTAATATGATTATGATTGTAAATGCTGTTTTTTGTCCATTTATTATGATTTTATGGATAAGCTATTATTTGTGCTTGTGATTTTTCTTTTATTATATTTTATTAATGTGAAATACACTTTATATATTAAAAATATTATTTAATACTAAGAGGTATCAGAACGTATCGAAATATTAGTATTTTTAATGTAACGTATCGACATTCCGTATCGAGAACGTATCGAAAATGCCGTGTCAGTATCGGTGCTTCATAGATGTCCACCGTCCTAGAGTGACGAGAAGAGACATCATCAACATCAACATCAACATCACCTTTATCCCAAATTAATTGGGGTTGGTGGTAGATGAACCCACATGAAAGATACAAAACACTTGAAAAAATAAAATTTAAAAAAAAAAATAAAAAAATAAAAAAATAAAATAAAAAATAAAATAAAATAAAATATATATGTATATATATATGTATATATAAATAAAATAAAAGTAAAAAAGAAAGGGACAAGAAGAAGTGGGGGAGATGAAGGGGAAAAAGACTAAAAAAGGACCATCCTCCACCATATTTATAGCTTTTCTCCATTCCGTTCTAAGACAAACCGTCCGCCAATCTATATCCCACTCCATTAAATCTTGTTTTACCACCTTCCCTCAAGTAAGTTTCGGCCTACCTCTGCCTCTTTTTGTGTTGAGCTCTTGGTAACAAACTTCTGTTCTTACAGGAGCATCCAGGGGCCTTCTCATCACGTGCCCAAACCACCTCAATCTATCTTCTCTCATCTTCTCGGCTACTGGTGCTACTCCGACCTTTCGTCGAATATCTTCATTTCTTATCTTATCCATCCTTGTGTAACCACACATCCACCTTAACATCCTCATCTCTGCGACTCCCATCTTATGCTCATGTTGCCTATGTGCTGGCCAGCATTCCGCGCCATATAGCATCGCCGGTCTTACTGCCGTTTTATAGAATTTTCCTTTTAACTTAAGAGGGATTTTGCGGTCACACAAAAACCCAGATGCACTGCGCCATTTCATCCACCCTGCTCTGATTCTGTGATTTACATCCTCATCAATCTCTCCACCTTTTTGTAATATGGAGCCCAAGTATTTAAAAACATCTTTTTTGGGTACCTCTTGACCACTTAAATGCACGGGCTCTTGGTCCCCATCTCGTACCAGAGAAAACTCACACTTCAGATACTCAGTCTTGCTTCGACTTAATGTGAATCCTTTGGATTCCAAAGTGCTTCTCCACAATTCAAGTTTTCTATTAACACCCTCCTTGCTCTTATCAATAAGCACAATATCGTCTGCAAAAAGCATACACCATGGCACTTCTTTTTGAATATCTTTTGTTAGTTCATCCATAACTAAGGCAAAGAGATAAGGACTTAGAACCGACCCTTGGTGTACACCTACCGCGATAGGAAAATAACTTGATGTTCCGTTACAAGCTTTTACACATGTAGTAGCTCCATCATACATATCCTTGATTGCCTTTACATACTTTGATGGAACCTTTTTCTTCTCCAAAACCCACCATAAAACATTCCTTGGAACCTTATCGTATGCTTTCTCAAGGTCGATGAACACCATATGCAAGTCCTTATTCTTTTCTCGGTATCTTTTCATTAGTTGTCGCATCAAGAGAATGGCTTCCATGGTACATCTTCCTGGCATAAATCCAAATTGATTTACAGAAACCTTGGTATCTCTCCTCAAGCGATGTTCAATAACCCTCTCCCACAACTTCATAGTATGGCTCATTAGCTTAATGCCTCTATAGTTTGAACAATTCTGTATATCTCCCTTTTTTTTGTAGATAGGCACAGTCATACTTTTCTTCCATGCATCAGACATCTTATTTGTCTGGAGAATCTTATTGAAAAGATTGGTCAACCATTTTATTGCCAACTCCCCCAGGCCTCTTCACACTTCAATAGGGACACCATCAGGCCCCAAGGCTTTATTAGTCTTCATCCTCTTTAAAGCCTCCTTAACTTCATGTGTATTAATTCTGCGAACAAATCTTCTATTCATATCATCATACGCGTCCTCCAAGTCCACCTCGCTTGTATCTCCATCCCCATTAAACAGCTTGTTGAAGTAGTTCAACCATCTTTCATTTACATCTTCATCTCTTAGTGACGAGAAAAGACAAACTCGGAAAAATTGGCGAAACCCACACCATTTGCGACGAACTCTTCCCTGTTGTGTCGAACTACCTCTAACGAAGTCGATCTGAATTTTTGAATAACTCCTTGGTGCTCTGCCTTGGATGAACGCAAGTCACCGCCTCCAACCCCATTATTTCTAGCATCATAATTCTGATTAAGGTTCCCAACTATTTGTGGGTTAAAATGTCCAGACCTTAAGTCTGTCGGGTCGGGTTTCGATCTAAGTTTGGAAGGTTGCATGTGGGTTGTATCTAAATTGGTCCCCTTTGTTATAAATAAAAGGAGGTTTAATTGGTTTGTGGGCCTATAAGCCCAATTTGTATTTAAAACAAAAAAACAAGGTCTCTTACCTTTGGATTGGGTCGGGATCAGAAAATAGGCCGGGTTAACAACTTGTTTCATCTTCTAGCTCCCCTCACTAATGAATCTACAGCTGACTGAGCATAATGGAAGTTGAGGGATAATGATTCCCTGAAACGCTTTGGTAACCCAGTGAAAGTACTTTGGGCTTGATTCATTATGTTAGCAACTTGGCCCAATTTTATTAAGCTCTCCGATGACCCAATTTTCTGGGGGAGAGACGTCTTCTTCCTTCTTGCACAGAACCCTCCTTCTCAGGGGCAAGTGGATCTGATGCTTCTGGCGCAGGCGTTTGGTCCACAAGCATCGCTGGTGGTTGCCTTTCCACTTCAACTTTTCCATTTTCTAGTTTCGATGTCTTCTTCGTCGCTTCTACAAAGTTTCTATTCATTTTCGTTTATGAACTAGGATGTTCCATCTCTTCTTCTTCGCAAAGATATAAATCTGGATTGAATTTCGGTTGAAATTCCTTTAGCATCACCTTTGAGAAATCCCACCAACTTGCCTTCAAATTCGACCCCCTCCAGAACAGGTACCAAATGCGATCATATCCTTTCAGTCCCTTCGCAGCTTCTGAAATTTTCTTCGATTCTGGAGTTCCTTTCACCTTGAAGTATTGCTCCATTTGGATTTGCCATCCATATGCTTCCACTCCATCAAACACTGGAATCATCTTGAAATCACTTTGATATTTTTTTTTTTGGTCATCAGCGTGGTTCAAAGCTACCGGATCCGATAGCTCGGATACCAAATTGATACAGACCACTCAACAAGTAAAATTAGCACATAAAAGAACTCTGGAAAATTGAAATACGAATCTGAAATATTGATATATCTATGAATCTGGAGTACAATATAGAGACAGTAACAGACTAAGAAATAGTAAAAGACTCAGAGACAGTAACAACATCAACTTTTAACAATAGCAACGTTCAGACTACAATACTAAAAATGGAAATGAAGTGAAATACAAGAAAAAGATAATGTGAGACAATTGGAGAGGCCTCACTCTCTCCCAAGAGTCCAATGCCAATATACTTTCCAGATCCCCTCATACTTCACATTCCTCTCTATTTATTATCCATACCCACTTCTAGAATATTCTCTACTAATTAACTAATTTGCCGAGTCAGCCTTGAGAGATGGAAATATGCTATGATGCTTCCTATAATACTCTTTTAGGATTTTAGGACTGGTGTTGTATCGTTAACCTTTCATAAGAAAATTGATATAGATTGAAGAAACTATAAGTAATATGAATTGGCTAATTTATGTCTTACTTGGAGTCGTCCGTAGCTTTTCTTTACTTGTTTTTGTTTGTGGAAAATGCAGGTCATGGAAGAAACTGGTTTTGATGTTTCAAAACTTCTTAACAAGGACGAATTCCTTGAAGTTATTTTTGGACAGCAGAGAGTGCGGCTTTACATTATTGCTGGTGTGAAAGATGATACAGCATTTGCCCCCCTTACCAAAAAGGAGATCAGTGTATGTTTTTCTTTTTTAAGAATTTATTTTTAAGGTTCTTATCATCCTATGTGCCATTGGGGTTATCATTAATACTTTTAGAACTCTCATATATAGTAGTTTAGGATAAAATAAGAAATTTCATTAGAGAGGAGAAAGAAAAAGTACAATCAGGGTAAGATAAGTTATGCTCCAATTTCCAAAATAGAGAAACCAAAAGAATCTATTTGCATCTCAGAAATGGAGGGCTTGTTTGATTGCGTTCTGCTTTTTTTGTTCTTAAAATTGTTTTGTAGATCATTCAATGATATGAATGTTTTATGTGTTTTTGTTTTGAAAATTAAAAGTCAAAACACAAAATAGAAACAACTAAAATATGTTCTCTAAATTTGATTTTAAAAACTAAAAAAATAGATATAATTTTTAGAACTATTTTTGCAAAACAGATATTATCAAACAAATTTTATTGTTTTTTATTTTGAAAATTTAAAAATTGTTTTTGAAAAAAGAATTCAAACAGACCTTGAAACTCCCCGAAACAGCCACATCCAGAGTGCCACAAACTCAAACCTACCCCATGACATGAGGGGATAATATACACTTTTGATATTGTTATTAAAAATAATGTTAAAATAATATACACTTTTGAAAACTAGTTTTGAAATTCACAATGTGTTGTAAATAATTGTATTGTAATTATTTATTTTTATTTATTTTTCATTCTAGAATCTTCTTTGGGCTTAGCCCATTAGGTCATTGAGTCTTTATAAATAGAGAGCTCTTGTACATTTGTAATTAACAATTTTCACATAATACAATCCTACTTTTCAAGTTGGTATCAGAGCTCTCGATCTTGAGGGCTATGCTTCCCTAACTGCCACTTTTAGAGCGGAATCCTATTTGTTAGCCTCTCTCAGCCACTAGTCGGTACTGGAAAATTTTTTCGGGAACCTTTTGGACCAATAGGACCACTATTTAACTATGTTTTTCCAGATCTATCAATCTACAGACGTTTCCGGCAGTGGGTCTTTGATCTCGTCATAAAAATCGGATCTTTTTGAATCAGTCCCATTTGATAGTTAACCCCCATCATCCATCAATGGAGGAAGGTGTTAAGGTAACCTCAATTGATGAAGGAAGGCATCTCACCAAGGCCTTAGCGCATGCTGCCCACATGAGCACATAAAAAGGCCAATGCAATGAAGAACCCTCATTCCCCAAATACCGAGTCCTAGCCGCCTTTGTATCTATCTCCCTGTGCTTCTAAGGTGATCAAGCCCGTTATTTTTTTTTCCAGTTGTGACGGGCAGCAAGGGACAACAAGAAAATCAGATCTGATCAAAAGAGGCACGAGTGGCCAAAAAGATCCGATTTTTATTACGAGATCATAGACCCACTGTTGGAAACGTCTGATGATTGATAGATCTGGAAAAACAGAGTCAAATAGTGGTCCTCTTGGTCCAAAAGGTCCTCTGAAATTTTTTTCGGTGGCGGCTAGTGGCAGAGAGAGGCTTACAAATAGGATTCCGCTCTAAAGGCGACAGTTGCGGAAGCAGAGCCCTCAAGATCGAGAGCTCTGATACATGGCTTTTGGGTTGAATTTCTTCTTTACATGGTATCTGAGCCTCGTGTCATGGGTTCGATTCTCGCCGCCCCCCATTCTCTTTGTGGAATTTCTTAGCACAGTTAGGCTGGGCCTGATGCATCATCCACTTTTCAATCCCAATGGGCTCTCGCGACGTGTACGAAATATATAAAACCATTAATGTAGCCTCACCTATCAACTTAAGCTTTTGGGTGAATTGGTTCTTTACACAATACTTTCCATGCAATGCAAAACTAGGTTTGATAAATTATTCATAGATCCAATTTCAAAAATAAATTGGAAAATAGAATAATGCATGTGATTTCTAAATACAGATTGAAATGTTTGTTGTTTTGTTTAAATTGAAATTACTTTTTACCAGTGTTTTACAAACCGGCTCGGACCAGCCGGGTCGACCCGGGTCTTGGTGACCTGATTGGTTCCCCGGTTCGAGCGGTCATTTGGAATGGTTCTGCAGTCAACTCGATTTGGACCAGTTGACCCAGTCGAGACTCGGCGACCCGGGTTAGACCTGTTGACCCCTATTTTTTTTTTGGTAAAACTTTTTTTTTTGGTTGCTCAGAACTCTTGAATTAAATCATGCTCATATTTTGTGGTAAATATGATTAAAAAATAAGGTGAAAACAAGAAGGTATTTTGGATTAGAGCAGTTCGTTTATGTAACTTAGTTGCATCTCATAATGATCTCAAGAAGTTAAGTGGGGATAAATATTGATGGTCTCATCTCAACGGTGGACACTTTCTCCTAAGTGTATATTTCATGCCTACAAAAGGTGCATGATTTAGTTTATCCGTGTTATGTCAAGGCACAAAAGGTGCATTTAGCTTACATTGCAATTTTAATCCAAATTTAGGATGTGGTCTAGAGTTAGAAGCCTAGAAGTATATAATATTTGCTATCATTGAGAACCAATTTATTTTTTAAAGTTCATTGATAGTTTTCTTATGTGAATTTTTAATATAAGTAATATGTTTAGATTTTTTTAATATGTGAATAGTAAATCCGGTTGAACCAGTGACCCAGTACCTCAATACCTCGACCGAGTCGATGACTGGTCCGTGTTTTAAAACACTGTTTTTTACATACATACATACATACCACATTGGACAGAGAATGAAAAAATGATATAATGTTTTTTCAATATTTGAAAAGTGAAATCCGTGGTATATGGTGCATTTAACGTGTTCATATATAATGTTGTGATTTTATGATTTAGGCAAATTATGATTTAGACAAACTTTGTATTATTAATGGGTATAAGAGTTTTATATTGAATAAAATACTTGATGGTATGTGAATTTGGAAAGTCTATCTTAGTGATGGTCTAGTCAAAGTAAATATAATGACTTTGACAAAATATAGACAAGATAGTAGAACCTCTAGTCAAGTTTTGTTTCTGTTATGTAGTTTGATATTCAAACGAGTTATGTTAACATGAATACATTTTATGATCTTGATGGGATTAAGATTGAAACGTGAAATTCTAAATTCTGTTTAAATTTTGGAATTAAAGTATGATATATTTATTGATAGTCAAAGTGGTCAACCTCGAGTTGATATAATTCCAAAATTGAATGATTTTATTTCAATTACCCATGATTTTGATGTTATAAATGACATGATAATTGTTTTTTATCTTATTGGTTAATTGAAGTTTATTATTTGGTACACGTGTTATTGTTGAGATATATAAAACTATTAATGTAACCTCACCCAACAGCTTAAACTTTTGGGTTGAATTGGTTCTTTACATGGTATCAGAGCCTCATGTCCCGAGTTCGATTCTCACCGCCCCCTACTTTCTTTCTAGTGGAATTTCTTTCTTCGCATAGGTAGGTGGGTCTGTGCATTGCCCACTCTTCAAGCCCAGTGGGCTCTAGTGTGAGGGGGCGTGTTGAGATATATAAAACCATTAATATAGCCTCACCCAATAGCTTAAGCTCTTGGGTTGAATTGGTTCTTTACATGGTATAAGAGCACATTTCTCACCTATATCATCCCCTGTTATAATAATGTCATTAACATAAACTAGAAGGATAGTGGTTTTACCTTCCTGAGAATGTTTAAAGAAAAATGTATGATCCCCTTGGCTTTGCTTGTATCCCAATGAAAGCATGACTTTGGTAAATTGATGCACTTATAGTTGGTCCATTGTACATGTCCCAACCATTGATTGAAGAAGCTCGTAGTCAACTAGAGTGTTGGCTTAATAAATATGGCCCAATTGTTGAAAGAGACAATGATTTGAAATTCAGCAAATTACAATCGAATTCAAGTCCCAATAACGCAGCAGATGTGATTGTGATTTGTTTGGGAAGAAAAGGAAAACAACATATTTGGAATGATTTGAGATTAAAGATTTGGGATGTATTTTGAATTATTTATTTGTAATTTTTTATTTATTTTTTAGATGTTAATTACTTTTATTTATTTTAGGAAGTTTTATTATTTTTAGAATTTTAGATTTTTGAATTTTGAATCAATTTGTAATTAGTTTATAAAAGGGTGCTTATGACCCTTATTCTAGGAGTTGAATTTTGTTATTTGAGAAATTGAAATTTGAGAACCGGAGGGTTACTCTTTTGTGAAAATCCTAACTTTCTGTTTAGCCACTTTTCTATGCGCTTTCGGCATCATTTGGTATCAGAGCACTAGGTTGCCTTCAACCAATGGCTGAACAGAATCGTGGAGGTCGACGACGGCGGAGTCACGAGAGTAGGGAATGTGGATTCGTTCCTGAAGAATATAGACAACTGCGTCAGATTGACCCGCGAGACATAGAAAATGAAGAGCTCGGAAGGCGGATCCAGGATTTGAAGGAACAACTTGAGCAGTGTTGGACAAGAAAATCCAAGTTTTGAAGCAACTATGTGTGCGGCCACAGAGAAAGAGAATTCAAGATTTGGAGCGACGACACATGCGGGTATGCATGAAATTTCAAATTTTGAAGCAAACTCTTATAGAGGTGCAGAGCATGGAAAGTCAATATTTGGAGCGGCGACTTGCGTGGACAAAGTTGGGCCTTCAATCCGAAGAAGGAATGGAATTAGATGACACATCTGATGACGAAGAAGAGGACGTCAATCCCGTGGGGATTCTAAACCAGGGACAGAATTGGAAAGTACAACCTGGAAATCAGTCCACTTTTCAAGATATCGAGATGCAAATCAGGATTCCTGACTTTCATGTCTATGATCATAATCCAGTTTGTGATGATGATCCAATCTATGATGATGAGCCGATCTATGATGATAATCTAATTTATGATGATTATCCGATTGTTGATAATTATCCCATTTATGATGATTATCCATCTTATGATGAAGATTCAGTTTGTGATGATAAGCCAGTCTATGATAAATCTAATGGAGAATCAAATTATGGAGATTTAAAAGAAGAAGATTTATCATATGA